GGTCGCCGGTCGCCCCGGGCCCGGAGGCCTGGGAAGACTATCGGAAAGGGAGGTGGGGAGAGGGTGCTGCCCCCGGCCGACGTCCTTCCCCTGGAGTCGCCGACCCTTGGCGCAGCCAATTGGCTCAGCGACATGGCGGCCGCCGCTTCCCTGAGGGCTCTGCGGCACTCTTCTGCCTGGTGACCGACGCTCTGGGAATCAAGTTTATGACGTAATCGCTCCAGCGGACCAATAGAAGATGCTCCCGCGGAGAGGCGTTCCTTCCCCTTCGCCTGGACTTCTTCCCGGGCGTGCGCGCGCGCCGGGGGTGGGGGAAGTCTCAAGCGCGGTGGCGCGCATGAGCGGCGAAGCTCCGCCCCTCCGCCTATATATAAAGGGCTGGCGCGGGGCTCAGCGGCGCCATTTCGCGCTGGAGTGGAGCAACCTCTAGAACGGGCTGGAGGATTCTGCCTACCGATACAGAGCTTTCGAGTCGTCGGGGCCCGCCATTGCAATCCACGTCCATCCGCTTGGAAATGGCCTTCGTCTCGGCCTATGACCGTTCCCGGCGGACAGTACAGACCCCATAGAAGCCCCCGAAGCTCCCCTTTTTCGGGCCCCGCCCAATCCTCGGAATCTGTCCACCCCCTCTACTCCGCCCTCAAGAGGATTTCAAAGATGGAGGCGGCGGCTCCTTAAACCACTTTCCGTGTTCATCCGCCTCCATCGAGATTGAAACGGGACTTCGTCCGCCCCGGACGGTCCCCGCAGGAAGAGGGGATTCTTGCAGATGAACAGCGGGCAATATTGACGACGTTGTCTGGGATCGGGGGCCTTCCTAGGGTTGGAAGAGTCCCCTCGCTCGCCCGCCTCTGCTGAGGCCGCCGCCATTTTCTCGCTGTCCGCCTCCTGCGGAGCGCGCCAAGCTGCCGGGAGCTTTCGGTGAAACAGCGGAGGAGACTTTCTTTCCTGCCCGGTGGGGGGGGGTTGTCGCCTGGAAGGCAAGGGCAGCGGCCCCCCCTACTTCCCGGGTTATGCTGGACCGGGCGGCGAGGGGAACCGAGGCCACCCGGACTTGCCGCGGCTGAGTGCAGCGCCGGTTCCCCGCGGTCAAGATGCTGCAAAACGTAACTCCCCACAAGTACGTCGTCGCGAGCGGGACGGGGACGTTGGGGGCTGCGGCAGGGGGGTGAGGGGTCGGGTTCGGAGGGAATACAGAACAGACGGGCGCGCTGCTCTTCCGTGGCGCGACTGTTGACTCGGGGGCTCGCGGAGGGGCTTGAGCGACGGTTTTGGAACCGTGGTCGTGTCCCGGCCGCTGCGTATGGAGGGAGTACAGGTTGTCAATGACTCCGCTACTTCCCCGGCGGTGGCCCAGTCTTAACCGAGTCGGTCCCAGCTAGGTTGGCGGCGGAATGTAATGGGGAAGGACCACATTGATTGGGCTGCGGGTATTGGGCCTTGTGTTTAGCGACGGTTTGTCATAGTCCTTTTGAGGTGTTCGCGGCCACAACTAGTGCCTTATAGGGTTGCCATGGTGACAGCTTCGGGGACTGGCTATGGGAATTCCCAGAGTAGGGACAGGGATTATTGTTAGCCTGTGGGTGCTTGGTATCTGGGCTGGATCATTAAACCCCTGCTTGTCTTACAATAACTGGGTCGGTTTTGTGTTGGGGTGGATGAGTGTTTTGTTCGGTGGTGGGGACGGTTTTGATATCTTTGAGTTTCATTCAAGGTGGGAGGTGGAACTAAGGATTCCGGTCCAGCTGTCTTCGGGTGTCAATAAGATCTCAGGGTAGTGATCTTAATCGTAGGCCCTGGAAACACCTGGTCCAGAGGAGCACCAAGGAGAATGTAAACCTGAACCACTGTTGGCCTTGAATCTCCAGAGTTGATGCTCCAGTGGGAACTGTTGTTGGAATCTTGTTTTTTGGCAAGGTGGGGGCGAGGGTCTATCCCTCTTGTGACCTTGACTGGGCAGCTCTACTTTTTGAGGCCCTTGGAGCGAGGAGGTTGGATTTGCCAAAAATTCCGGGGGCTGGCAGCTGGATTATTACAGGCTGTGAAGCCCAACAAATATGCTCCTTGTCTGATTTTTTTTTTTTTTTTTTTAGTTGGTATGGTTTTCCGTTAGATTTCCGGGGTCTGTTTTCTCTTTGAAGTTAACTATGCAGAGCATGTGGAGGATGCTGATCTCTTCTGCCCTGGTGGATTCTTAGCTGTCTGATCAGCATTTTATGAAATTCTCCCTTTTTTGTTCCCTTCCTCTTTCCACCTGCTTCCCCCAGGCTCGACCACCATGGCAACCATCAAGCCCCTAGTCACTAGGGCCTACTAGTGGATGAGGTCCTCATGCTTGGAGCTTGAGTTTGGACGCTCCACCCATTTCACTTAAGTCTCTTCCCCATTAGCCTGTGGTTCTCAGTTATGTCCTGCAAGAAACCATTTGGGGGCTTTTTTTTTTTCCTAACCTATCAGACTCCAGAAGGTGGGATCTAAATAGGTGTGGTAGAAATAAGGAAACAAAAACATGGGAATGGAGGACAAGAACAAAATCTCGCATGTTTGAGTACTGGTTGTAAAGTTTGCCTACTTCTCACTAGGCCCCAAGTGTGGATTTATTGGGTGTGTAGTGTAAATTACACTCTTCCCTAGTTTCTATAGCTTGCCACACATCTAATCTTGTTTCCCATTTTCACAGGCTCCCTGGGGAGGGGAATGCAGGGTTACTGGGGCTGGGCCCAGAAGCTGCAGCGCCTGGGAAAAGGATTCGAAAGCCCTCCCTGTTGTATGAGGGATTCGAAAGCCCCACAATGGCTTCAGTGCCAGCTTTACAACTGACCCCTGCCAACCCACCACCCCCGGAGGTATCCAATCCCAAAAAGCCAGGACGGGTTACCAACCAGCTGCAGTACCTGCACAAGGTGGTGATGAAGGCTCTGTGGAAACATCAGTTTGCATGGCCCTTCCGGCAGCCTGTGGATGCTGTCAAACTGGGTCTGCCGGTGAGTTGAGAAGTTGAAGTGGGGAGGTGTGGGAATGAACAAGAATGTGTATGAGTGGGGGTGGGCTGTCTAGTATAGTTGCTGCGGCCCCTAGGGATTCCCATCTCCCCCACATTGAGCATATAGCCACCAGATTTCTGAATTTTTGGTCCTTTGCCATTGATCCAACAGTTTGCTATCTTGGCATTTCTCTTTGTGCCCTCCGTGTGTCCTTCCTTAACTTTTGTGCCCTGGCTCCATTTTACAGATTCCCACCCCTGGTTGGGAGAGGACCACGGTGGCCAAAATTCTTAGCTTCTTCCTCTCCCTCATGCAGCCCATGGATAGCCAGCCCCAGAGGTAATGTCACAGGATGGGAAACCTTGCAGAGTGGGTGGGAGGTGTGGGTGGTTAGAGAAAGACAGTAGGGGCCTCCTGATGGGTGTTAAGAATCCTATTCCATTTTTTTCTGTCCTGTAGTTTAATTGGGGCCGCAGTTTAGGGAACTACTCCTTCGACACAGGGCGTGTGTGTATGTGTGTGTGTTGGGGGATGAGTAATTTGCTTAGGAGAACAGGTATGCATTTTTTGGTGGCTCTGACCTTTTTTTTTGTTTTGTGTTTTTCTAGGATTACCACAAAATTATAAAGCAGCCGATGGACATGGGTACTATTAAGAGGAGACTTGAAAACAACTATTATTGGGCTGCTTCAGAGTGTATGCAGGATTTTAATACCATGTTCACCAACTGTTACATCTACAACAAAGTGAGTTTTTCTCTGTGTGTTCATTAATAGACGGGGACAGACGGTGTTTTCATTGCTGGAGTTTTGTCTACACAATTCTTTTACTATAGTAGGTGTTCTCAGTAGTCAGGATCTAGAAAACCTGAGCTCCAAAGGGTACCATCACCCAGTGATGTGGCTTCAGAAATCCAGAGTTAAAGGTTTAAGTAGAACACTCTTCATACTTGGGTGGTGGCCCTGTTTGTTAGGAATTCCTAGAGATCTGAAAAGAGCAGGATCTACTTTCCTTATTTCTGAATTTTCTTTCTTGGTTGCGTTTTGAGGGACAGGGTTTGGGAGAGAAAGTGGGAATTAGTGGCCCCATGTAGGTAATTTTTAGTACTCCGTGACAAACTTATATCCAAGGAGTGGTGATGATGCCTGGAGCTAGGAATTCCTTTGAGGAAAGTAATCTATATTTTGCTGATATTTGAACCTTTTTGTTTGTTTTCTGTAGCCCACTGATGATATTGTCCTGATGGCACAAACGCTGGAAAAGATCTTCCTACAGAAAGTGGCATCAATGCCACAAGAGGAACAAGAGCTTGTGGTGACCATCCCTAAGAACAGCCACAAGAAGGGGGCCAAGTTGGCAGGTAGGAAGAGTGGCAGTTTTGCTAGTGGGAGACCAAAAGGTGGGAAAGATGACCACACTAACCTTTTTTTCTCTTTTAGCACTCCAGGGCAGTATCACCAGTGCCCACCAGGTGCCTGCTATCTCTTCTGTATCTCACACAGCCTTGTATACTCCACCTCCCGAGATACCTACCACTGTCCTCAACATTCCCCACTCATCGGTCATCTCTTCTCCCCTTCTCAAGTCCTTGCACTCCGCCGGACCCCCGCTCCTGGCTGTCTCTGCAGCTCCCCCAGCCCAGCCCCTTGCCAAGGTATAGATCCATGGATTTCTTTTGGACAATCGGGAGGGAAAGCTTGATTGAGGTGGACCTGAGGTAAAAGGTTTCCATCTTGTTTTTCTTTGCAGAAAAAGGGGGTAAAGCGGAAAGCAGATACTACTACCCCAACACCTACAGCCATCCTGGCTCCTGGTTCCCCAGCTAGCCCCCCCGGGGGTCTTGAGCCGAAGGCAGCACGGCTTCCCCCTATGCGCAGAGAGAGTGGCCGCCCCATCAAGCCCCCACGCAAAGACTTACCTGACTCTCAGCAACAACACCAGAGCTCCAAGAAAGGAAAGCTATCAGAACAGTTGAAACATTGCAATGGAATTTTGAAGGAGTTACTCTCTAAGAAGCATGCTGCCTATGCCTGGCCTTTCTATAAACCAGTGGATGCTTCTGCTCTGGGCCTGCATGATTACCATGACATCATTAAACACCCCATGGACCTCAGCACTGTAAAGGTACCCACTGCATGGGGCAGATGGGACACTCAGGCAGTGATTGGAGCCTAGGGATCAATAAAAACTCAGTCACCTCCTTACGGGAACACAGCAATCTTTGTTTTTTAGTATTTTACTTTTACAAAAGAGTAATGTGGCAATTGGTCAAGTGCTTGATAAGAGTCCCTATTTTCTGGAGTTTGAAATTGTATTATGGTGGGTCTTCAGAGCAACACTATTTATATTTCATTTAAGTCCTGCTTATTGGGGGTATTGGGTTAGGGTAGTTATGGAGTGAAGGATAGTCAGAGGCCACTGACCCGTGTTACTTAGAAAGGATTTTTTTCCTAGACATAGATATTTCTTCAACCCACCCAAATTCCTTTGACTTCAAATTTGAACCCCAGGGCACAGATCCTTAAAGTCACACCCCCACTGTGCTCTCGAGAGGGCTGCTCTTGCGGTGTCGGGTTGGCAGGGAAAGGTGAGTCTCCCTGCCTGTGCAGCTTCTGATGCTGCCTCCTTCTGCAGCGGAAGATGGAGAATCGGGATTACCGGGATGCCCAGGAGTTTGCTGCTGATGTGCGGCTTATGTTCTCCAACTGCTATAAGTACAATCCCCCAGACCACGATGTTGTGGCCATGGCACGAAAGCTACAGGTGAGTGTCAAGGTTGGAGTCTGGAGAATGACTAGGTCTGGGGAGAGAGAGTTTTGTCATCTGCACTGTACCATCTTAACATGAGGATCTCTTAATCTTTACAGTTGTAAATTGGAGCCGTGTCACCAGGTGGCTGGGTACAGTCAGGGCACTATCCCCAGCATGGTTTTGAGTCAGCCTCTCTTTCTAGGACGTATTTGAGTTCCGTTATGCCAAGATGCCAGATGAACCACTGGAGCCAGGGCCTCTGCCAATCTCTACTGCCTTGCCTGCCGGCCTGGCCAAATCATCTTCAGAGTCCTCTAGTGAGGAGAGTAGCAGTGAGAGCTCTTCCGAGGAGGAGGAGGAGGAAGAGGAAGAAGAGAGTGAAAGCTCTGACTCTGAGGAAGAACGGGCTCATCGCCTGGCTGAGCTGCAGGAACAGGTACTTGTCCCTGTTCAGCTCAAGACATTCTTGCCTGTCTTTGCCCTTTTTTTCTTCTCTTCTTTTCAGATTGTTCTACTTGATGTGTTTTTCTCATTTCACATCTTGATTCTTTTTTTCCTTTCTAGCTTCGGGCAGTACATGAACAACTGGCTGCCCTGTCCCAAGGCCCAATATCCAAGCCCAAGCGGAAGAGAGAGAAAAAAGAGAAGAAGAAGAAACGGAAGGCAGAGAAGCATCGAGGCCGAGCTGGGGTAGATGAAGATGACAGGGGGTCTCGGGCACCCCGCCTCTCTCAGCCCAAGAAGTCCAAGAAAGCAAGTGGCAGTGGGGTTGGCAGTGCTGCTACACTAGGTCCCCCTGGCTTTGGACCTTCTGGAGGAAGTGGCACCAAGTGAGTTGTAACAGGAGGATGCATTCTCCTATTCCTTACAGGTTTTCTCCTGTAAGTGGCCAGGTGACAGACACAGACTCTGAGGACCACAGGGTCTCTCAAAGCTACTCAACTCTGACAGTGCAAAAGTAGCCATAGGCAATAAAGATACGGACATGAATACATGTTCCAATAAAACTTTATTTTGGTAACCACACACAAAAATCCCCAAACCAGGACACAGCTTAAAAAAGGAAACAGGAAAGAAGTATGCAATACCACCAAACAAAAACAACAGACATTGGATTGAACAGTAAGAACCTGTTCAGAGAGGGTTAAAGGATGCTTCTCTAACAGAATTTTCTTTTGTCCGTAGACTACCCAAAAAGGCCACAAAGACAGCCCCACCAACCCTGCCTACAGGCTACGATTCAGAGGAGGAAGAGGAAAGTCGGCCCATGAGTTACGATGAGAAGCGTCAGTTGAGCCTGGACATCAATAAATTACCTGGGGAGAAGCTGGGTCGAGTTGTGCACATAATCCAAGCCAGGGAGCCCTCCTTACGTGACTCAAATCCAGAAGAGATTGAGATTGATTTTGAAACTCTCAAGCCATCCACACTTCGAGAGCTTGAGCGCTACGTCCTTTCCTGCCTTAGAAAGAAACCGCGGAAGCCCTACAGTGAGTATGAATGGGGCCCACCAATCTTTGTGAGAGTCTCAGGACAGGTTAGAAAGGCGGTAGTAGTGTGCATACTTGGTGCACTCCTGTCAGCTTCCGGGATGGAAGGAACTTGGCAACACTAGGGTGCAGTGTCTTAGGCCTGGTGCATCTCTTTTCTAGCCATTAAAAAACCTGTGGGAAAGACAAAGGAGGAACTGGCTTTGGAGAAGAAGCGGGAACTAGAAAAGCGGTTACAAGATGTTAGTGGGCAGCTCAATTCCACCAAAAAGCCCCCCAAGAAAGGTGAGTATCCTGTACACCACTGCAAGTTCACTGTATTCTGCCAACTTGACTGTCCTTTCTTCACAAATGGAGATCGAACTTACACATCTTTAACCTTTAACTTTGTTTTGCAGCGAGTGAGAAAACAGAGTCGTCATCTGCTCAGCAAGTAGCGGTGTCACGCCTCAGCGCTTCCAGCTCCAGCTCAGACTCCAGCTCCTCCTCTTCATCGTCATCCTCTTCAGACACCAGTGATTCGGACTCAGGCTAAGGGCCCGGCCAGATGGGGCAGGAGGCTCCGCAGGACCGGACCCTTAGACCACCCTGCCCCATCCCTTCCCCCCGTGCTGTGACACTTCCTCATCTCACCCACTCCCCCCACTGTAGGAGAGCTGGCTCTGCAGGGGGGAGGGATGTGGGGACATTTGCCGAAGGAGGGACATAATGGACAAAATATGGTTGTGTTCCCAGCCCCATTGAAAGTGACCTCTTGGGCAGGGTCCCCATTCAAAATGATTGGGACCGGACGGTGGGAGTGGGCAAAGACCCAGTAGGGGTTGCCTGAGGCCATAAGCGGCCCTGTTCACTTGCAAAGGCCCAGTTGTGAGGTTGGTTGTTCTAATTTATTTAAGCTAGGTAAGGCTGAGGCGTGTGGGGCCATGGTCCCTTTGGCCTCCGTGGGGAAGGGAGAAGGGGGAGCTCATTTTTTACGTTGACATTTTTCTACTCTGTTTTCCCTTTTTCTTCTGCTCCATTTGGGGCCCTTGGGGTTTCTATCATCTCCCCATTTGGTCCCCTGGATTGTCTTTGTCTGTTGATTCTAACTTGTAAATAAAGAAAGTATTATTCAAGTTTTGTGTTATCTTAACATGTTTCTGTGGTGCTTCAAAAGGAACATGATAGAATTATCTGAGAATTTTTAAGAAGTATTTTTGAGGTGGGGAAAAGGTAGAGTCATCCTGTAGTTGGGTTGTGTCTTGGTTTTTATACAAACCCGAAGGCGGTTGCTGTGGTGCTAAAAGGAAATGGATGGGCCCATTGTAAAGTGAGTCCAGAATAACCTTTAGGTTCATGACTTGCGCCAGTTTAGATGAACAAAGCAAACCCTTGGGCTCCTGTGTGCCTTCATCATGAGGTTAAAGCTCAAGACGGGCAGACATTGAGGTTTTCTGCAGCGCCGCGTGGGTGTGGGTTGTCTCCGGAACGCCACCAAATGGGAAGGGATGGGAGGAAGCAGGCAGTGGGGCACTGAGCATCTGCCTGAGAAGGCACTGGTGCCTGCTTTTATAATTTGCTGCTTTGGCTTCGGATTATAGATTGACAGGGCCCGGCGTAGTTTATTAATATGCCAATTCAGAGCATTCCAGTAATTCAAGTTCAGTCACAAAAGCACCTCCACAAGTCTAACCCCTTGTCTTGCTCTAAGGGGAGGGGCTGTATATAGTTCAGGGAGCTGGGACTTGGAGGCTCTGGAATTTGGGACTTAGACTAAAAGGAAGACATCTAGCTTAGTGTAATGGGCCATGTAAGAAACCTGAATATTGTTATAAACACTGAATTGGGAATTTAAAGCAAATGGTTTATTCTCCCATAAGTAATGCTGGAAGAAACAAGGTAGAAGGTGGAGATGGTAGTGAAGATTTTGAAAGCGATTTTTCAACCCTGCTTACATATTAGGACTACCGAGCTTATAAAAACAATGCAATTATTTCTATTCTATGGTTATGAATTCTGAGCAAATTGGGGCCTGGGCAACACTTCAAAAGCTCGGGAGATGGCGATGTGCAGCAGGATTGAAAACTTACTGTTGTTCGAAGTCCTTCATTTTAATGGGGAGGAAACCCCTGAGTGGGCTTTTTGGCCAACCTAAGTGTGGCACTCCGAGTGCCCTCGGCTAGTTCCCTTTGAGTTCTCGTCCTTGAGCATTAGAGAAGATTTTGAAAACTAGAGGTACTTTATCAAGGTTTGTGTTAGTGGGCTAGGATTTCAAAGTCTTAGAAAGGAATAAATGTGGAGGACTCCAGGCTGATTACAAGGCAAGGCTTTGGAAGAGAAGGCCGAGTTCTAGGAAGAATAAAACGGGAAAGAGGGTCCAGGTGTGAGCTGGATTGACTCCAAGGAAGAAGCCATTGGCCTGAGTCCAGGAGCTGAGCAGTTTTGTGGATAGGACAGTGGACATGGTTCACAGGTCGCCAGGAGTCAGCTGACTCAAAGGGCACATGACATTTCAGAAGGAATTTCATGTTTGAGTTGAGTTTGGGAAGGAGGCTAGTTACAGCATCTTAAGGCAGACTGTAGTTCCATTCCTTATGTTCATATACTCAAGATGTTTTTTATTATAGTTTGGAAAAATAAAAAATGTCAACTATCAAATGTTAGGTGTGTTTCTAACATTGTACCTTTGAAGACACCTTAGTCTAGTTTCCTGTAAACTGAGTTTCATATACCCAGACTTGAGAACCACTGTAAATGCGTGAGAAGAGCCTGGCTCGTCCTCTGTAGAAAAGGCTGAGATTGGGGAAGTGGCGTGGCCCTGTGGTTCACCTCCCACCCTGCCACATTAGGCAGTTTACATAGTACATGGATTTCCTGATCAGCAGCCTTTTGGTAGAGTCCCTGCCATGGTCCCTGAACTTTGAGGTTTCAGTTTGAGCCAGTCTGTCCTTTGATTCACTTTCTCTCTTAGTCCAAGCCCCAGCTCTCCTGCCCAGCTGGTGCTGGGGGCGGGAGGGGAGGGGTTAATTCCCAGGCAGCCCAGCTCTTGGAGTCCTGACCCACTGCTGCTGCTTTTTGTTTCTTCATCTCATGCCATTTGCTCCCCCTAAATCCTATATAATAAAGGGCTAGTATGCAAATAGACCAAACGGCGGAACAACCAAAGAACCAGTTGCTATGTGTGTTGACCACCAGGGGGCATATGCAGAACGTGGCAGGCATCGTCAGCAGCAGGATGATGAAGGAGGTGAGCAGGGGCGCCAGACCAAGGCAGGGTGCCGGTCACTGTCATCGGGGCGAGCCTCTGGTGGTTACTGAAAATTCTTTGCTCTCGCACGCTGTGGTCTCACCCGGCACTCGCACCTGCTGCTGGCACCAGTCCCACTCGCACCCACTGCCAGCATCGGAGCCGCCACTTACACCCACTGCTGGCACCCGGCACTGGCCCCGATCGCTTGGCGCCATCAGTGGGTGCAAGCTGCAGCTGCAGCCCTGATCGCCCCTCAGGGCTTCTCCACCTCCCCCTGCTCCTGAGGGGTGATCGGGGCAGCAGCTGCCACTCGCACCCATTGATGGCGCCGGCCCCGCTCGCTTCACGCCTTCAGCATGTGTGAGCAGGGCAGCACTGTCAGTGCATGTGAGTGGTGGCAGCGGGAGCGGGGCTACCGGCAGACAGGACCGGGGGGCCGCAGTGGGAGGGGCCGGGTGGGGGCACGGAGGGTGAGCCAAGTCCCGCCCCTGTGCCTACAGCAGCCTTGCAGCCCACAGTTCCTTTCATGGTGCACGAATTTGTGTACTGGGCCCTTAGTGTTTCCATAGGAAGTATTCAGTCGACATCTTTTGTTGAGTTTCCTTGCTTGCTTTTTATTTTTCAACAAGTTCTGCTAAGTAGGGATGTAGATAGAAGACAGGGCCCTGTCTTCAAGAAGCTTGCTCTATCATAGGGTTCGATGATTAATCATGGAAACAGTGGTTGTACTGATTGGCTTCAATGTGCGACCCCCGTCCCGGCCCTGCAAACCTTTCTCTTAGGTCCATTCAGGACTGTCCTCATTGGGAAGCCCTGCTCCCCAAGGGACCAGCATGAGGGGCTCCAGGACAAGGACCAAAGATTCTCGGGGGCTTAACCAAATAGCTGAGGGAGGTCTCCCCGTGCAACGAGAGGGACTGATAGCAAGCTGGGAAGATGTGGGAATGGTAGGTGGGAACTGAGCTGACGTTTCCCTGATCTTGCATCATGATCTCGCATCTTTGCTGATCGCCTTTCCAGATCGCCTTGTGCAAGCTCTTTCCAAATTCCTGCTAGCTGGCCTCCAGCCTGAATGAGACAGCTTTCTGCCCCGTGGTTGGCGTGCTGGGAGTGAGGAAAGGGGCAACATTAGGCAGCTGCAGGGTTTTTGTGTGTTTCGTAATTTTAAGTGGTCTTAGCAGCACAATATGCGAAGATCTGAGACGAATTGGTAGGAGAGGGCTCTGATCTGAGAGATGGCTAATCAGAGATGACAGCTCCCAGCAGATGGGTGAGTGATGGTGTCAGAGAGGAGGCGGGGAGTAAACGCTGTCGGCAGAGGAAAGGAGATGGGCAATGGGCAATGGCCGAACACAGGTGGCGCTGAAGCAGCGAGAATGAAGGGAGTGCTTTCAGACAAGGCCAGAAAAGTGGGCAAGCGACGATAAGGACTTGAATTTTTATCCCAAACATTTTACTATGCCAAGCACTCTACTAACGAAAAGATAGAAACTATAAACTCATTTCATCCTCATTTTGGCTCTATGAGGTAAGTCATTTATCTCCATTTAACAGATGAGGAAATGAGGCACAAAGAAAGGGTAAGGAATTTGCCCAAAGTGGCAACGTGAGTGCTGGAGGGGGGACTTGAACCCCAATACCGTGGGCTGGTGGGCAGTGAGGAGACATACTTTGAAGCAATTGCTGTCAGGAGTCATGGGTTTGTGGGTGCCGAGGAGGGATGGAGAGTGCTCATTTTGAAAGCAGTTGCCACGCTCGGTCCAGCAAGTGAGGGGAGGTTTGGGATGGAGAGGCAGCGATGTAGATGCAGGGACACGGGTAGGCCCAGAGCTTGGCAGTATGGGAGTCTGATCGAGTGGCTGAAGGAGTGCCACCTGGCTGGCTGGCAGGTGTGAATGGCGCTCCAGCAAGGCTGGCACTGGCTCTGAGACACTTGGTAAGACAGACAGGGCTCTGGCGCCACCTGGTGAGCATGTCACCCATGACTTCCTCCTGAATCTCTAGCTATTTTTGTGCCCAGCCTCCCCTCTCTAGGTTCTTCCCTTCCCTTTTTACTTCCCTGTTACTTCAAGTTTGAAGCATGAGTTTCTCTGAAGCGTCTCCTGGGCTTCCCCGGCTCCTCTGATACACTCCTACCCTCACACTTTTCACACGGCCCCTCCTAGTCGGGGTCCCCAAGGTCGGGCTCAGCCTCCCGGGAGATGCTGGGCTCCCCGTGTTACCTTCTTGGTTCTCTTCTCGTTTGCACAGTGTTGCTAAGCAATTTGACCCATTTGTCTGGAGGCAAACTCTGCCCAGACCTTGCTCCAAAGTGGCAAGTCTGTTTTTCAGCTGCCTGATGGCAATGTCCCACAGGCTCCGGCACTCAGCCCATGTCCAGAAACACCCCAATTTTCCCCCTAAATGTGTCCCTTTGTGACTTCTCTGTTTCTGTAATAAGCACTCATACAGAATTCGCAATGTGCCAGGCACTTCTTTTTGTTGTTCTTTTTACAAACCCTTGTGTCCGGGGCTGATTTTCAATAGATCGCAGCGAGGGAGCTGCTCTGCTACATACGAAACCCTGACCCAGAAGCAGGTCGTCTACGAATGGTTTAGCACCAGGTTCCCCACAAATGTGCATTGTGTGAAGGGCGAGGGGGCGTGCCAGACACTTCTGAGCGCCTTTACAGTTTAAGTCCCCAATTACACCATGAGGTAGTCACCACCCTTTACAGATGAGGAAACTGAGGCTCAGAGAGATTAAGTAACAGCTCTACCAGGGACCCCGCACAGATTCCCACAGGAGGCTCCCCTGCCCTGCCCTCGGCCTGGCAGTCCCGGGGCTGAGGCTTGGACAGGTGTATCATCAAGGTGTGCTAAGTGGAGGGGAACCTACCGCCTCTG